CAATAGCATAGTACGCTCAAGTTTTGAAATTTAAGAATAATGATTGTTTTCTACGAGGACAAGGATTATAAGTGACCAATAGAAACGAGCTTGTTTACACAAATAGGAAGTTTCGCGTTTGCAATAGCAACGATTCGGCATTATAAAGTAATTTAAAGATATATTTGAATTCGGTGTTTTGCAATATAAATATAGAATATTGTATGGTTTAGTAAATACCAGTTAAATAAACTCGATGATAAAATCTGTATTTATCGGTGTTTTACGTATTACAAAACGAGGGCTTGTAAAATTGAGAGCAAAAATTTCTAGCATTCGCAATTACGCAAATACCCTATCACATTTATGTCGAGCCATCGTACAACTTTATCAGTTACTTGAGAAAGTCACAAAACGTATGGAATGGTAAGGTGAAAATGAAGATGAATTTTTGAATTTTTACAGGGATGAGAATGAAGGGTTATAAGCTTGGAAATGCAAATTTTTATTTTATTTAAATTTACCTTGCGAATAAAAATGTTGAAGAGTGTACAGGACATGAAATCATGATTTTTTAATTAAACGAAAGTTTTGGTAAATTAATGTGAGTTTTTTTATTATTTTATGTTTCGTTACGTCATGTTTCGTTCGCCGACTAAGAACAACATAGTCTAGCGTTTGAAATAATTACTAAAATTTTTTGGCATCTAGAGAAATCTCAAAAATTCGTAAATTTCGAATATTAGCCATTTAATTTGTCCTTATTTCTTATCGTACACTATATGAAATATATATATATATATATATATATATATATATATATATATATAGCTCTATGCAGCTTGAATCTTACTATACTTGGCGGACTTTTCAATTCCAACAGTCTTGCAGCTCGCGTACTTTGAAAAACTTGATGTTCACGATGGCAATAACAATCGTTAATTCAGGTTATTTAATTTTATCCCTCTGCGGCAGTAGTTGTAACGCAAAAACTCGATATTCCACGTTCCACATTGCGTAAACATCACTCGTACGTTTAGTGGCTTTTTGTTTTTCAACGTTTATTATTATTGTTTGTCCGTTCAATTATTTGCTTCAGTTTTGCTTTACTTTCTTTAACCGCTTCGTTCCTTTCTTTACTAAATAAGTTTTAAACAAAAAATAAAGCCGACTCTCCATGGCAACGCTCACTTGGTGATGTATCAATCTTAACAATAACCATTTATTTCGATTTAGCATTTTATGCAGTAAAATCTTTTGTTATGTATACAATCTTTTATCTCCTCTGTCTAATAAAGATGCACACATGTAAGCGCACCAATCGATCAATGTTTATTTTAATGTCGTTGCTCGCAACGTCTCTCAATTTTTATTGGAAATGCCACTACTAAGTGTGCAGCTGCAGCAACCAAACGCTTTTTTTCTTATTTTTCTAATGAAGGGGAGGGTCGAGTTTGCCAATGGTACATACAGGATAATAATGGCGAAAGCTTAATTATTGCCTCGATTATAATCGGCAATCCTCGCTTCTGACAAATAGCTTTGAAAATTAAAAATAATTTCATCGTTAATCGTCGTTATCGAAGCCAGCAGGTTGAATGGGGTTGAATCCCAGCCAGGAGGTGGATGGGGGGAGGGGGGGTTGTTGGGCAAATTACCGATTAAAACTTTATTCTTTGCAATGGAATTATTTCTGCGACTAACTTGCGACTACTTCTGTGAGCCTAAGTTTTCAAAATATTGTCTCCAACCATTTAAATGCTCATTCTTAGTATTCTTCGGCATTTGTATTTCTATTTCTATTTCTATTTCTATTTCTATTTCTATTTCTTTTTTTTTTTTTTTTTTTTTTTAATTTTTTATTTTTTTAATAGTAAGTTGGCTCATCAATCTTTCATGAAAATCGATACTTTATTGGTTTCGTCGTTAACGTCGAGGCCGGCCGTTAAAAGACAACTGTCGCTACTTATTATCCCTTCTAGCTTGGTTTTCGTTAAATGGAATGCCAAAATTATAGTCTACCCTATCTGCCTTATATTCGGCGAATAGCGTGAGTTATTAATTTAACATTCCATGAACCATTTGAATTTCAGTATTGTCGTCAATAATTTTCGATAATTCTCATTCGAAATAATGACTGAAAGGACGCGTGCATTTACTTGGTCGTCGTATTGGGTGGGACGAAACAGGGTTGGCGATTGAGGGGTGGGGGTAATTCGAATCGGAGCATAAAGCAATGAATTTGCGAAAAATACGCGCATTTAAGAGAGTGGCTGATTTTTCTTCAAGAGCTTATAAATAACCGAGTGATTTTATAACATGGATTCTAAAAATATGGGCAATCACTTGATATTGTCCCAGGCATTATACGTCTTGTTTAACATACGCAAAACTATACGTTTACGTCAAGGAGAGAAAATAAATTTGCATTTAATTTTATTTTTTATTTTTATTTTCCATTGGCAGTAGGTAGCTCAAGCAGGCAGTGCGCCCAGTTAAATACATACGCACACGCACACGCACGCGCGCATTACGTCAGAGTTTCACGATAGTTTTCCAATAATAAACTGATAAGACATATTTTTTCGAAAATTAAAGACGGGCCAAAGGAAGAAAGTCGCGGTACTGTTCTAAGTAATGGCTTAATCAGCTTTAAGGGGAAATAATTGTCGGAGAGAGGCGAGAGGCAATTTTATAGCCGATTGTAAACACATGCTGGTGAATTTTTGGAATTTGGACGCGCATTTGGTCGACGAGCCGTCACACTATCAGCAAAGTAAATATTTGTGGCGAGAATAAAAAGCCGGAAGAGCTGAAGAAGAATGGCCGCACTGATTGCCAAGTGGTCGTGATCATCGTGGTCGTCATCTTGGTCATCGTCGTCCTCGTCGTCGTTGTCGTCGTTGTCATCGTCGTTGTCGTCCTCGTCCTCGTCGTAGTTGTCGTCGTCGTCCTAATCATCGTCACATATTGTGCTCCTTGGTCGTACGGGGCCGTAGTAAGAGCCGTAGTAAGAAAATTGACGAGTGTGGATTAAGTGCGGATCGTAGATGGGTTAGGATGAGATGGGATGGGATGGGATGGAATGGGATGGAATGGGATGGAATGGAATGGGATGGGATCGGATCGGATGGGATGGGATGAGATGAGATGATATGGGAGGGTCTGTCGCCACTCGCAGTTGACGACGTTGTATCGTTTGTTTAGACGTCGTTATTAGCATAAGCGAGAGAGTGCGAGCTTTGAGAGAGAGAGAGGGAGAGAGAGAGAGAGGGAGAGAGAGAGAGAGAGAGAGAGAGAGAGAGAAAGAGAGAGCTCACAGTCTATTATTAAGATAGGGTTATTAGGGCTGAAAGGGGGTGGTGATTGAGGAGAAGGCCGTCGGAGCCGCGGGCCGGGCGACACGGAGGCGCGATAATAAGTAAGGGCGGTTCTCGGCCGGGCGGGATGGGTCGCTAATTAAAAGGGTCGGGTTGCGCGGGCACGCGGGCCTCGGGTTTACGAGGTAGACTGCTCGTCGTGGGGCGCCGTGCTCGCGGCAGTAGGCAGACGCAGGCTGGCCGGTAGGTCGTTCACAGGGGCACCTCCGGCACGCGGGCCTCCTCCTGGAGGAGCGACCGGGACGCGTGGCCCAGGCCTCGGTGTGGTGGGGGCGGTGCGCGTGCAGCCGGCAGCCGCAGCTGCCATTGCCGGTGGCCGGTGTCGGTCCCCCCGTCCGGGCTACTCTCCAGCTACCCTCTCCCTTGCGCGATTATAAGTAGGGGTGACTGCGGGCCGGCCGCCTCCAGTCGAGGGTTGCACTTTGAGCCGCGCGTACGCACGACGTTCTCGCGCAGCTCCGTACGTAGCCAGGCAGCCAGGCAGCCAGGCACAAACGCGCACGGACGCACCGACGCACCGACGCACGCACGCACGCACACGTAGTTGGTGGAGCGTGCGAGCGGAGGGAGGAGCCGTTGCCCGGTACGGCCGCAGAGCGGCGCCAGGTGTACAGAGCTACGACGGGCCGTTTTACCCATACCCGGAGGGAGCCGCGTGTGCGCGCCACTGCAGTCAGCGGAGGCGCCGAAGAAGCGAGGAGCAAGAGCCTCTGCCAGTCACCAGTCGCTAGTCGCCAGTCGCCAGTTGCCAGTCGCCAGTCGCTAGTCGGCAGTCGTCACTCGACAATCGCTAGTCGTCGGTCGTCGGTCGTCGGTCGTCGGTCGTCGGTCGTCAGTCGTCAGTCGGCAGTCGGCAGTCGGCAGTTAGTCCAGGACGTAGAGACGATCAGTAGCGGTTAAAGCGCCTAAAGCCCGAAGCTGCATCACGTTGCTCGTCCCTGTGTCGTGGTGACCCGTGTGTCCTCGCGCTCAGCCTTAATAGTGCCGCGAGCGAGCCATCGGGATGCGCCGGGCCCGCGACACCCGGTCGCCCGCTCCTCGTCGTTGAGAGCCTCGTACCCGGAGACGGATGCGCGTGTGTCCGCGTGTGCAGTGCTCATCACACTTTTTCCTCGTGAAAGAGGAGGAGGAGGAGGAGGAGGCCGAAGAGGAGGAGGAAGAGGAGGTGGTGTTGAAGGAGGTGGTGGAGGAGGAGGTGGAGGAGAGCTGTAAAGAGGTGGAGGAGGAGGTGGAGAAGGTGGAGGAGGAGGTGGAGGAGGAGGAGGAGGAGGAGGAGGCGGTTGCCACACTTAGATCGAGTGCCAGTGACATGCCGCGCAGCTTCGAACCTAGGAATTGGTAGTTGTGTAGTTGTAGTTGTTGTTGTTATTGTTGTTGCTGCTGCCGCTGCTGCTGTTGCTGCTGCTGCTGCTGCTGCTGCTGCTGCTGTTGCTGCTGATAATACTACAACTACTACTACTACTACTACTACTACTACTACTACTACTACTACTACTACTACTACTACTACTACTACTACTACTACTACTACTACTACTACTACTACTACTACTACTACTACTACTACTACTACTACTACTACTACTACGGCTAGTACCATTACCGCTGTTAGTACCATTATTGTGCTCTATTGCTGTTACTGTTACTGCTCTCGATTGCTTATACGTCGTCGGAGGAGCGTCATTGAGGAGAGGCCGAGCGAACGAGCGCCAACATGTGGACCGCGATGCTCGTCTGCACGGCTGCGCTCGTACTCGTGCCCCCGCCTCGTTCGGTAAGTTATCCGGGGCTGTTTGGCTGTTTGGCCTCGGCATCCCAGGGCTGAAGCGGCCCACGAGCGCCTGCCGTCAACAGCGGCGTCTAATCGACGATAACCCCTTTTTCCAGGTGGTGCAGGCCTCGGGGGTGTTCGAGCTTCGGCTCAAGTCCTTCGCCAATGAGAACGGCAAGGATAGCCTTGGGAAGTGCTGTTCGGGAAGTGGGAGCGGCGGTGAGTGCTCCGGCGTCTGCCGGACGCGCTTCCGCGTCTGTTTGAAGCAGTACCAGGTCAACATAGATACAACGACGCCGTGCACTTACGGGGACGTGGTGACACCGGTCCTCGGCGACAACGTCCTCAACTTCACTCAGGCGGGTGCGAGTTTCGCCAACCCCATCAGGTTCCCCTTCGACTTTACCTGGCCGGTGAGTTTTGCGCGGGCGCACCCCGGAGCGCAGCTAGACAAAGACTCTGCGAGACTAGCGGCGGCCTCACTCGTGTCTCCTGTTTGCGCCAGATGGCCGGTGCTTTTGTCTACCCTGCCTGTCTCCCTTCACCTTCCATGCTCCCTTCCCCCGCTGACCCTTGTCACACGCACACGCGCACTCTCTCTCTCTCTCTCTCTCTCTCTCTCTCCCCCCTCCCTCTCTCCTTCTCCCTCGGTCTCTACCTAGCCAGCCCTCGGTGCACTACTCATCGTATTTTTATATATAAGCGTAACCGAAAAATCGGCCCTTTCTACCAACTACTACTCAGATAGCCTGGAAGCGGCTACTAGCATCGACACTCGACGCTTCGGCCCTTTACCTCATATTCCATTTTTCACTTTTACGACTACCAGCTCTAAGGAATAACCAACCCACCTCAACCTCGCACCGACACGAAATGCAAAATAAACCAATAACGAATTTACGCTACGGCATTTAGAGTCCGTTAAAATTTCTTACAACGACTCGCGTCCGAGTGTTTATGTAACCTTACATACGAACTCGCATCAAATACACGCTCACGCATACATATATACGGATATATATATATATATATATTACTAAATGTATATACGTACATGCATATGTTTTCACGTATGCGTGTATATAAGTATATGGGCGCGTTTGTGTTTATCTGCATGCTTACACGTGCGCACGTTGATAATCTAAGTATATCAGCATGTGTGTACGTATTAAAGTCGTGGAAAAACGTCGGGCATAAAGTGTACGCACGCAACATGCGTCTGACTCTTCCCTTTCGCTTATTATAAATGTGATGTTAAAGCCGTTTTCCCCCCTGCGAGCTTGGCAAGGGACTTTCCTCCCCTTCTCCACCTCCTCCAGGGTCCTTAATTGCTTGACATTTGCGCGGTGGAGAGCAGCCACAGCAGCAGCAGTAGCGGCGGCGGCGGCGGCGGCGCTGGGCCTTTTGCTCTCTTTGCTCCTACCTCGGAAAAAAAGAAGCGCGACAAAGTAAGCAGTACGTTTTTTCGCCTAAATGACTCACTCGATTAACTCGGTTTACTCGCTTTATATTCGCGTGAGCGAACAGCCGCTGACCTTTCCACCGCCCCCTCGTCCTTCCCGCCCTATTGTCCCTGCCACGGTCTCTGACCCCCCCCCCTCTCACCCTCCGCCCTCACAAATCTCTCACGTACTTAGGCTTGTTTACGCGTTGAATCCGACGTTTCTTGAGCTCTATCTCGCAAACGTGATTCGAGCGGTCACCGCTGATTGATGCACTGGCACTTGTTTGGATATCCATGAATGGATTGGGAGCAACAGCAACGGCCCCGGCAGTGGCTGCGGCGGCCACAGCGGTAGCGTTTAGCATAATTACCGAATGGCGCGGCAGCACGAGAGTCAGTCGAGCGTCTGGTGCCCCATCACCGTGGCAGCTACTGTCCCTGTGTGTACGAGAAAGAGGAGCAGAGTATTTTTAGCGTTTTACCGCGAGCTATAAAACCCGAAGAGCGCCGCCTCGACGTGCGTGCGCGCGTGTGCGTGTGCATGCGAGCGAGCGAGAGGGGGGAAATGGCGGAGAGAGACAACCTTCCTCTTCTTTTTCTTATGCCTCGGACTCTCGTTTTCGGCGCGAGGAACCTTTCGCCCTGTGCCCGCTCTACCCCTCGGCCTTTATTCTTCCGAGGGCCGCCAAATGACAAGTCTCAGCTCTCACTGCTGCCGTTCTCTTACCGCTTGGCTGCTAAATAACATTATACACTCGCTCGTGTGCTCCCCTGTCCCTATCTCTCTCTCTCACCTTAGAGAGCTCGTTTCTTTAATTTCCTTTTCCCTCCTCAACTCTTCAACTCCGGCAATTTCTCACTCCCTCTCTCTCCCCTTCCGAGCGCCACCTCCCTCCCATTACTTTTTCCAAAAAGGAAATAAGACGAGGAATGGGCGAAGGTTGCACGGGAGCTTCCGTCCGTTCGTTCCAAGTACAAAGTACATAGTACACACTTCACGGAGTACAAAGAGGGATTCGCGGAATCGAAGGGAGGCGGCGACGCTTCTTGACGGGTAACCTCTGCGAGTATAGCAGTAATAACGGTGAAATGGGTTTGTGTCCCGAGGGCTTCGTCTCCTTCGTCTCGTTCATCTCTTATATCTTTTGCTTCTTCTCCGACGAGTTTCGATGCAGCCGTCTTGCGCCCTCGGTCTATCTCTCTCACACTCACTCACTCACTCACTCTCACTCTCACTTACTCGTTCTCGTTCTCTCTCTCTCTCTCTCTCTCTCTCTCTCTCTCTCTCTCTTCGTCTCTCCCTGTCTCCGCCTCTTCTCGAAACGCCCGGCACATAAACGTGAGAACGCTCCTTCCCGCAGGCGCGACACGTGCTACTCTACCGCTCTCGCGGCTCCCGCGATCAGCTGATCAGCCCGTTCCCTGTGCCCCGTCGCCCCTCATTACCTCCCCTCGCAGCGCCGGCCCTCCTCAATTAACCGGCCGGCAGCCGAGCCTCTCCTCCTTAGCTCCCTGCCGCGCAGCCGAACTTCCACGAGCTTTCGCGGACTTGGGCTCGTGGGAACGCGAGTGGGAGCTTCCGCGCTCTCTCTCTCTCTCTCTCTCTCTCTCTCTCTCTCTCCTGTCCCACCTCTGTGGCCGGAAATTTCGCCCACCCTCAAACGATTCCCCGTTCTTCTTAACCCGCGCCGCTTCTTCTCGCGCTTAATCCCTCTCGATCGGAGCAGCTTTTTTCCCCCTCCCCCTCCTCGCAACCTCTCACCACTGGTTCTCTTTTACTTCGAAACACACGGTCTACATTGTTCCCGGGATGCCTGGCGACTTTTTTAGCTTTTTGTCGGCTTAATTCCAATCTCTGTAATAAATTAGCGGGCAATCACGGTGGCATTTGTCTCCTCTGTAATTTATCTCCTCCTCCAACTACTTTCTTTCAGCTTGTGCTCCGTCCGACTCTCTCTCTCTCTCTCTCTCTCTCTCTCTCTCTCTCTCTCTCTCTATATATATCTCTCTCTCGCT